TGCCTAGCGCATGCGCGCGGCTCGCTGATGCTGAGTTAGAAGCAAATGGCGTTGTTCAGTGTCGACCGTGGAAGAGCTCCATGATCTACCGTAGTGATTAGCGGCAAGAAAGAAACGATCGCTTGATGTCCGTGCACACCTCCGGCGAAATGGAGACCTTCAGTGAAAAAATCAGTGCTTGAACTGGTACTGATAAGGAGATAGTGGGTTAGAAGAAGAAGAAGATGAAGAATAATTATTACGAAAATCGTGAAATCGCGTATGAGCGAATTCTCGCGTGGACGACTGAAGGTGCGTATAAGGTCTTTGGGAACCTGTATAGGTATATATTGGCCCGTAGACTATTGCTAGTGTGTTTTGAAGGCCTATGGAGTGATCCGCACCGAGTTTTTAGTCGTTTTGTACGCGGATCACGTGAGATTTAACTCATGCATGACATCCCTAGAGTCTACCGACCCTCTAAAAGTGTGTTGTACGCTGTTTTTTGTCCTGGTCTCACATACTGGTGAACTACGGTGCGTGCTAGCGGGCTATACACGCCAGAGTTACACGTTACTACATTACATGGTGGCCGCGGTGACAGCATCTTTCGAAAATGGCCACCAGCCGCAGACGCAGCAGCAGCAGCAGCAGCACCGACGAGAGCGCAACCGGTGACGACATCGTTTCAGGTAACGATACCTGTGTCTTTCACCTTCAGCCTCCCCGGAAAGTGGCCCCAATGGATCCGCCGCTTCGAGCGATTCTGGATCGCATCAGGACTGTCGCAGAAAGAGGGAGATGTGCAAGTGAACACGCTGATTTATGCGATGGGCGACCAGACCGACGATATTCTTCGTTCGTTCGTGCTCTCGGGGGAAGACCGCAAGAACTAAAGTGCAAATCCTCGGCGAACTGCGCATGCGCTGTACCTCTAATAGATGGGCTGGGCCTATTAGTCTGCGTTTACCCGTGATCTCCCGCCAGTAGCTCGCGGAGAGTCTGACACGGGCTAGCTACAGTAGTAGGTAGCATGCGGGAGTCGATACACGCCCTGACTTCTTGTGCCTCCGAGGTACTCAGATAAAGCGGATCAGGTCGTGGTATGCTAATGATAATTAGCATATTGGCTTGCTCACTTGGTTTTCACGCCATAACTTCTGAACGAGGCACTTTTACGAAAATCGCCATTTTAAAAATCAAGCCAGTGTATATAGTGCTGAACCCGTTGGTGTCGCTATTTTACCTGTTTGTTGCGCGTGGTGGCAGAAAACGTGGTAACAGACGGACAGACAGACGGACAAACCAAGTACTGTAACCCTCGCTGCGCATGCGCGCCGAGGGTTAAATACGAGACGGTACGGTCAAGGCAAGTCACTTCGTGCAGCGCCGTAACGTTATCTTCGAGCGGGCGACGTTCGACCGCCGGAGGCAGGAAGAAGGCGAGCCAGTAGAGTCATTCATTACTGCTCTATACTCGCTGGCGGAGCATTGCGGCTACGGCAACTTGCACGACGAGATGATCCCGCGACAGGATCATGGTGGGCATCCGAAACACTCTCGGAGACGTTGCAGCTGGAACCGCGACTCACTTCGGACAGCGCCATTATTCAGGTCAGACAGTCAGAAGCCGTAAAGCAGCACCAACCATTGTTACGCAGTAAACCTGATACCGCCGTCAACAAGTCTCTGGGGGACCGAACAGCCGACACCGACGTCTACGTTGCGAAACGACTCACTAAATCTCTCATTGGACGATCTGCAATTTTCGATCTTCAACTCATCAAGCGAATCGCAGCCGTCGACCACTCGTCACAAGATGAGTTCCCATCACTCTTCAAAGGACTAGGGGAACTCGAAGGCGAGTACAGGATTGAACTCCGTGACGACGCAGAACCGTACTCCCTGCCTACTCCTCGGAGAGTTGCGATCCCTCTCCTCAAGTGTGTCCGTCAAGAGCTGGAGAGGATGGGGAGGATTGAAGTGATAGCCAAGGTGAACAAGCCGAGTGGTGCTCAGGGATGGTAGTGGTGCCGAAACCGAACTCCAAGGTCAGGATTTGCGTTGACCTGACAAGGGTGAACGAAAGCGTCAAGAGAGAGAGGCACCCACTCCCTGCTGTAGACCAAACCCTGGCTCAATTAGCAGGAGCCAAGGTGTTCACCAAGTTAGATGCGAACTCGGGATTCTGGCAGATTCCCCTGTCTCCTGAATCTGCACCCCCTGACGACATTCAACACTCCATTCGGGCGGTATCACTTTCGTCGACTACCGTTCGGAATACCATCGGCACCAGAGCACTTTCAGCGACGTATGTCAGAGGTTCTGAGTGGGCTCTCAGGTACGGTGGATGATATCCTCCTCCACGGAACGACCCGGGAGGAACACGACGAGCGACTGCGACTAGTTCTTCAACGTCTGAGTAATTTGGGCATGACACTAAACTCTGAGAAGTGTGCATTCGCCCAGTCTTCAGTCGAGTTCCTTGGACATGTGATCGACAGTCAAGGAATCAGACCAGATCCAAACAAAGTCTCTGCCACTTCACTGACACAAAGCAATTAAAATTATTAAAGCACTGCAAAACACTTTGCCTTAGTCTTGAAAAGTTGTGCACCGGATGGCCAGCCCTAGCTTTATGCATACTTTGACTCTGTCTCACAGCATGACCACTCAGCTTGGGTAAGGCAATTGGACCAAAACCATGAACCCAGAAGTTCATCGACTCCTATGAATTCTTTATGGTTTGATGACCAGCTATATAGGTATTGGACCGGAGGCCTGGGTATCTTTCTTCTGAAGAAGATTCATTAGACCCAAGTGTACAAGGGTTATTTTGGGGTCAGAGAGTTAAAATGCTTCCACTATAATTTGCAAGTTCCTCTTCACCGATACATTATAGTTGATGATATTTGATATTACAATTTTCCTCCCTATATAGTAGATGTTCCATTAGTTGGAATCAGGTTAGTCAGCTAGCTCAATGCTTTGGAGCAGCAGTGCCTGCCACAAGAGTCAATTGATGCTCTGGGAGAGGAAATGTATTACAAATTGGCTCCAACATGAAGACTATAATATACCTAGTTCTGCACTCAATGGTGAAGCTTCATCTTCAGTTAGTGTGGAGTTGTACTCTTACTGGAGAGAGATTGGAAGAATGAGGACTCTTGATGGCAGACCTCGGTTTCCTCACCTTACATCTATAGCTAAAGGTGTTCTTTCGTTACCTGTATCCAATGCTGACACAGAGAGGGTTTTCAGTAATGTGAGAAAAAATATTGTGACAGATTATCGAACTGAAATGGAACAGAGTACACTATGTGCACTACTATCGTGCAAACTGAACAGCAAGCTTAACATCAATTGCTTTGTCCTTGAAACTCCATTAGATTTTCTACGGAATGCTAAGCGAGCAACAATGGACTACAACAGACAACACAGTGCTAATCGCTTTGGAAAATAACTTCAATCTTGAGTCACTAGTGTAGTATCCTCGTAATCACAGGTTATAGCGAGTCAACATCATGATCATTGCTGACTGACTTACAGTGAATAAGCACGATACATATATCGAGGTGGGGTATACAGTATACGAAGGACCACGGGAATAACGGGGGATTACAACAGAATAATTGACTGAGCATGCGCACTACATAATAATTTTTGGGAATACATCACATTTCTCCCCACAAAGTTTCAATATAGCCTGTCCGGCGGCCTCCTCGTACGAGTTGATCGGCGAGGTTCCTTTGTTGCGATCTCAGCCCCACTGGACTCCTCTTCCTCAGTCCTGCCCCCCAGCTTCTGCTGCCACTACGTCGCTCCCACTCCTGTCGGTTGCGTAGGTGGTCCACATGTCTGCGAAAATCCCGTCCATCCTCCATCTGCACTCGGTATGACACCGGACCTGTCCTGTCTTGAACCACTCCCGGCAGCCAAGTGGGGCCCCCTCAGAAATTCTTCACGTAGACCTTCTGGCCTTGTTCCAGTTGTCGTGCTCGGCCTTGACTCCGGCCCTGAACTTGCTTGTCCTGTTGTGAACGGACTCTTTGGGCGGTATCCGGGTGAACCAGGTCCAGTCGTGAGCGCAGACGTCGATTGAAGAGAAGTTCGGCTGGAGACTGTCCAGTTGTGGCGTGCGGGGTGATTCAGTATGTGAACAGGAAACGACATAACCTTTCCCCTAGTGTTCCAGTGCGGATCCTTTGAAGACCACACTTGAAGGTCTGCACTGCCCTTTCCGCCAGCCCGTTGGAGGATGGGTGATAAGGCGCCACCCGTACATGGACCACCCCGTTCCCCTCCAGGAACTCTGCAAACTCTCGGCTGGTAAATTGAGGACCATTGTCGGTGACAATCCTCTGGGGAAGCCCATGGACAGCAAAGATGTGCCTCAACTTCTCCACCGTGGCAGCAGTGGTGGTAGATGACATTGGTAGCACCTCGAGCCACTTGGTATAGGCGTCTACCAGCACCAGAAACATCCGACCCTGGAATGGTCCCGCAAAGTCTAGATGTAGGCGTGCCCAGGGTTCCCTTGGCCACTCCCACGGGTGTAGCGGGGCTGGTGGGGGTGCGTTTCGTGACTGCTGACAACTGTGGACTCTTTGTTCCAGGTCTTTTGAGATGCCTGGCCACCACATGTAGCTTCTGGCAAGGGCTTTCATGCGAACGCCCCCTGGATGCCCCCCATGAAGCTCCTCCACCAACGCTTCCCGGCCTGGTCTGGGTACCACTACCCGTGACCCCCACAAGAGACATCCGTCAAGAACGCTTAGCTCTTCCTTCCGGCGGGAGTATGGCTGCAGCGCTTCCTCGCTAACGCTTGATGGCCACCCCCTCTTCACAAACCTCCGGACGCGTGCGAGCACCGGGTCCCTCTCTGTCCACTGTGCTATTTCCTTTGCGGACACTGGGGAAGCTGTATCGAGGTGTTCTCGCAGGAGGTGAAGGTCTCCTGGTATGGGCACACGTACTTTCTGGGGAAGCGGCAGTCGGCTGAGTGCGTCTGCATCTTGGACGTTTTTCCCTGGGCAGTACTCGATAGAATATTCATAAGCACTCAGTGTTAGTGCCCAGCGTTGTATTCGTGATGCTGCCATGATGGGGATCCCTTTTTTCTCCCCGAACAAGTGTCGCAGTGGCTGGTGATCTGAACGAATGGTAAAGTGATGCCCATAAAGGTAGCAATGAAACTTTTTCACTCCATACACAATGGCCAAACCTTCTTTTTCTAGTTGGGAATAGTTTCTCTCTGCTAGTGCTAGCGTCCTTGAGGAGAAGGCAATTGGCTTTTCGGTGCCATCCTCCATTTTGTGAGCCAAGACAGCCCCAACTCCGTAGGGTGAAGCGTCGCATGTCAATATTAGCTCTTTGGTGGGGTCAAAATGCA